TTGTATTGGCCATGGTAAAATTCTCACTTGCTTTGATGGTACTTTTAAGCTCAAGACAACTGAGTCTATGCAAATAATTCTTCCAGAAATTTGTATTTAGAGATACATGTCTGAAAATCGTTGAAGTTTGAAGTTTATTACAAGAAGGTTAGAAAGGTCAGCGAAAGCATTAAAACTTTAAGCCAGAATCTTCTTATAAGATGGGAAATAAACTTATCTGTTAAGAGGTTGTCAGAATTAAACCAGTTAGTCACTCCTACTCAACCCACTCAAAAGAGTATGCTTACATACAGCCAACGGCTATTAGGGATTATTATTGTTGCCTAGCTCATTTAGCTCTTATAGTTATTCTAGGTAACCCCTACCAATCTTCTGTAAATATACTTATATTTATATTTTTTCCTTATCGTAATCTGTGGTACAAATAAAACACGTTGTTGTTGTTGTTGTTACAAGTCCTCATTTTATCCAAGAACAGTTATAGAATGGTAWTTTTTAGAGTGGTCTAAAATGCTCAATTATTCACTGGATGACCTAATTGGTAAATGTAAATGTAATATAAACAATAATACTGATAAAACCCAGTGGCCCTATGCAACACACACAAGACAGGAATTGCATTTTCATTCTAGCTTTTCAAGTCTTTGTATAATATTTGTATTCAAGGTATGTACTGGGGCATGATGCAATGAAGAAGATGGCTTCATCCAATGTTCTTATTTCAGGCCTGAAAGGGCTGGGAGTTGAGATAGGTGTGTACAAAAGATTTAGTTGTGTTTTTTTTTTTTTTTGCTTGTTTGTTATTCCATTAATTAGTGGGTTGTGCTGTTCAGCCAAAGCTGGCTTAAAGAGTGCTTTGTTTAAAGTTTGAGTAATTTATGCTCTTTTGGACCAATAATCAAGGTTTTAAAAGAACTAAGAAGAAAATGCCACCTTTGTAACTACATCTGCAAGTTGTTAGACCCTCAAGATTTATTGGACAAATGCTTAAAACCGTAGGACCCAGCTTTGTTCACTATGTAACCCTGTCTAAGGCAACTTCAAAAACCCACTGAAAAGGTTGGTGATGACCAACTTCAAAAACCCACTGAAGAGGTTGGTGATGACCATCTTCAGTGCCTGTACTGACACTACAGGGACCACAGTAATATTGACAAAATCTTTTTTGGTGTCCCTGCGCTCAGAAGAAAAAGCATAATGAAAATAAAATTCCAATGTATCAGATGTTTTATCATTGCAGCAAAAAATGTTGTCCTTGGAGGCGTAAAGTCTGTTACACTTCATGACGATGGAAATGTGGAAATGACAGACTTGAGCTCACAGGTCAGTATTGGTAACGAAAGCAGTATATTTTCTTTGTGAATACTTCTATTATCAATATGAGTATCTCTATGCACTGAAATATTTATTAATTTCCTATAAAAGAAATATGTTGTTTACAAACCAGACAGAGAAAAACTGAGCCCAAGGTCTTGAATGTATAGACCAAGGCTCTTAAGACAAGGTCTGCTTTCAAGACCGAGGGCACAGTTTTTCCCTATCTGGACAAACTTTAGCCTGATAAATAACTTATATATCTTTTCCAATTTACTTTTCCRCTTGTTTTGCAATATTTATTTGCTCCTTTAATGATCCATTTTACCTTGCACTCCCTTGGATGACGCAAGTCTTACATCAGGATACTTTCAGTACCACTATAAAGAAATTATGCATTGAAAATTCTTRTTCATAACCATGATCCATTTTTTCTCTTTCTTGGTGTAGTTTTTCTTCAAACCAGAAGACATTGGAAAGAATAGGGCTGAAGCATGTTGTTCACAAATAGCAGAACTCAACTCCTATGTCCCAATATCTGTTCAAACCCAGAAGTTAAATGAAGAATTTGTCAAACAATTCCAGGTACATTTATTTCTTACTTTATAATACACTCAACAAAATTACTTGATTCTATTTGGACAAAAGGAATACAATGAAATTGTTTAAAATACACTCTACAAAATTATTTGATTCTGATTTGACAAGAAGAGTACAATTAAATCCCAAATCAAACATTGTAGAGTCCAAATTTATGAGTTGCTCAATTTTGTTGAGTGTAATATAAACAAAATATTGCACAATCAATAAAAAACATCAAACCTCAAACATCACTCGTACCTATAAATTCCGAATTATACTTGAGATCGTGCAATTTCCTATACTAAAACAAAAAATCACACAATCTTTTCATACGATTCAGAATTGATAGATACTCCTGATGTTTTTAAAGTTCTCAATTTTGAAAATTTTCCAAATATCACTCGTACCTATGAATTTGCAATATTTACAATAAGATTGTGTGATTTCCTATACAGATTCCTAGTGTTTTTACTTAACTTTATAACAGTGTTTATAGGTTTTACAATCAATAGACCAAGGGTGTTAGTTTGAGGCCCTTTTTCAAGGCCAAGGGCACTGTTTTTTCACGTCTGAAGAAGGAGCAACACTCCGAAAACGTTTACATTTACTTTACCTTTAACATTTCACTTGCTCATAAAGTGAGGGCTAATTTTTTCCCTTAACTTTTCAATATTTTAGCAATATGTTATCCCCTTGCTTGCGGATGTTACTTGGATACCAGACCGCAGGTAGATAATGAGAAAATACCGCCTGCTCAAACAGCAAATCAGAATGCAAGACTAGATATCAGACTGGAAAAATAAAACAGTCAATATCCCTAAAATGCTTAAAGACTAGTGCATCTTTATATTGTTATTGAAACTAGAAGGCTATGGAAGAAGCTGTATTTTTTGCTTAAATTACTATAGAAACAAAAAACTTGCTAATAAAGATACAAATGTGTATAATGTAGATAATGATGTGATATACAAACACAGTCATATACATATACATATTTAAATACCGGTTCAAAATACTAACCAAAGCTCTTACATATTTGCTGATTAAGGTTGTCGTTCTGACGGAATCATCTTTAGATGAACAGCTTTGGGTCAGTGATTTCTGTCATGCCAAAGGAATTAAGATCATCATTGCCTCTACTAAGGGTTTATTTGGGTAAGTAAATTATTAAATTAAATTAGTAAATTAAATTAATTAAATGTAAAGATTGGAGGAGCATGAATTATTACAACACTTCTCCTTTACAAAACAAAGATTTTAATTTCTTTTATTGTAATTAGTTAAGTAATTTAGTTTACAAAATCTTACAATAACTAGTTGTTTATACAATGATTGAGATATTTACTATTTCCTTATTTACCAGCCAAGTCTTCTGTGATTTTGGTGAAGCTTTCACAGTCGTTGATACCAATGGAGAACAACCTGGAATCAACATGATCTCGTCCATTACTAAGGTATCACATCATTGCCTACTGTCAGGTACTCAGTTATACTGTGAAACTTATTCATGATAACTCTCTGTAGGAGGAAGATGGTGTAGTGACATGCTTAGATGAAAAACGTCATGGCTTTGAAACAGGTGACTATGTCACTTTTACTGAAATCAAGGTAATTTATAATTAGTGTTCACAGCAATATTATAATGATGCAGTATGATTCCCTTAGTTATTTATTCTATACAAGATGCTATGTTTTTAATAATTGTAATTCTAATCAACAGGGAATGACAGAACTTAATGACTGTGAGGCTAGGCCCATCAAGGTCTTAGGTAAGTATAGCATGTGAGTGTAGCCTGGATATTTTCTTAGTTTATTGGTATTGTGTGTATTGCTAGCTACTGTTAATCTCCTGTGAATATCTTATTTATAATAATGTGTTCACAGGTCCCTATACTTTTAGTATTGGTGATACTAGGAGTTACTCTGATTATGTAAGTGGTGGTATAGTACAACAGGTGAAGATGCCCAAGACAATCAAATTTGTAAGTAGTAGCCAATTACTCTTTATAACTAGTGGTGAACAGAAAGCCTAACAGGTTTTGCAACCCACTTGATAAGGGTATTGATATAAATTGAATTAGAATTTAATAAGTTGATTTTTATGGAGGGAGGAAAAACCAGAGGAAAAAAAGAGTTTCCTAAAAAAAACCAATGAACATTAATAATGATAGAATTATTCTACATACTTACATACAACAATGAGCATGACAGGACTTGTAGCTGGGTCACCTTGGTGAGAGATAAGCACTTTTACGCATCAAGCATCAAATCATGGCAATAGCCTGAAACATAAGCAATAAGCAAAAAGTGTGTACTATTTGAATGCAGGAACTCACAGTTTGTACATTTTCCAACAAATGGCAATGACTTGTCATCCAATTCTATCAGTAATTGAAATAGTAAAAGAATAGTAATTGAAATAGTGTAGGATTAATAATAATAATGAAAACTTTATTGTGATGCTTTTTGTTTTACAATTGCAAATCTCGCTAATAACTAGGTAATTTGCAATCGGCTACTTGAATTAAAGATAAATTTAGTTTTACATGAAACGAAAGGCTTATAGCTCAAGATATATACTTGGATACATACTAGAAGATGGAGGGAAAAAACAACAATAATAGTAAGAAATATAATGATATGAAGATACTAAAAATTCATTAAATCAGGATTTTCCCAGTCTTTGTTTCGTTTACAAAAAATGAAATATRTGGATCTRATGGCAATGTTGATTATTTTTCTTATDATATACATTTTATGCTTTTTCTCGTATCCTAGCTGGTCGAACATTTCTAAAAACGTTGAGCTTTCCGCAGAGAAAACTCCAACAGAACTAATCGAGAGATTTACAAATTTAACAGATTTAAAAACACTACTTAATTTTCTTATAATATTTTTGTACTTTTTGTATTTTCGATCAACATTATTTTTCAAATTTGTTTCAAAACCAACTGTTAGTTCCAGAATAAAAAGACAGTCTAGTGTTTTTATCAGAAGATCAGGACGGTGAGCATCTCCAGTTATAAGCGAGGGGCTGGTATAGCCTTCAATGTCAGCATATAATGAAGATTTGTCGAGTTTAGATAGCAGTGATGCAGCGAGGAAGTTTAAGATGGAATCGTGCCTCCAAGTGAAACGTGGTAGATAGTATTGGCATCCAGCAACAACATGACAAAGAGATTCTGAAGAACCGCAATAGGAGCACTCAGAAATAGCTGACAAACCCCATTTTGCTAGATTCGTGCGTGTAGGTAGTGAGTTGTTGATATATCGAATGGTAAAGTTAAAAATGTTCTTAGGTAGATTAGCGTGAGCGGTAGACCAGATTGAATGAAGTGATGACAGGGAATATTTCATAATAATAATAATAATAATAATAATAATAACTTTATTTCAAGAGGGTAAAACACATAACAGATATGCAAGGTACTGATAAACTAGTGGCCCTAGTAATATGAAATAAGTAATTCCCATTTACGATTATTAATAAACCGATATATGCTTGCCTGGTCATAAATGTTTTGGCCAGTCACAATGTACGCCTTCCAAGCAGCTGTTGTTTTAAGCCTTGGCAGAGAGAGGTGAGAGATGAACCTCAATGTGACCCATGCCATCACCCATGCCACAATAGGCTAACGCTCAAACTACATATCAATTAACAATAGTTTTCTTTCTAGAACTCTGTGTCTCACTTCTTTACACAATAAAACATGAACTAAAAAATTCAAGAGCCTAAATAATGCTCATATTGTTTAGAATCAGGAAGTGTTATTTAGTACTACTTAATTCTATGGATACTTTTCTTTCTTAGAAATCTTTCAGACAGTCACTAATGGAACCAGAATTTGTCATAACAGACTTTGCAAAAATGGATCGACCTGGCCAACTGTTGCTTGCATTCTTGGTATGTACATAAATATAATAGTAGCGACCATTAGAAGTAATGATGATTATTGATATCCCTCTAAGTACAATAATTGTATTCATTCTTCTATCTTATAAGGTATTATTATTATTATATATATTTTCAGTGTTTATCTGAGTATTTGAAAAGGCATTCTCAATCTCCAAGACCCAGAAATAAGGTTAGTAGTGATTAAGTGAGACAAATACACTTTGCTTATGTAATAACTAGCCACTGTTAAAATAATGTGATTTGTTGGTGTGTGTGTCTTGCAGGAAGATCAAGAAAAGTTTGTTGCATTGGCCAAAGAACTAAATGGAAATATCTGTGCAAAGGTAAAATTATACAATGCCTACAAATCCAGGGTCTATTTTTCCCAACTTTCAACCCAAGATTCACGCATGCTAATTTGATTCAACTGCAGGTTGATGAAGTTGATAGCAAACTGTTAGCCCAATTTGCAGACAGTGCAAGGGGTGATCTTTGTCCAATGCAAGGCTTCATAGGAGGAATTACTGCACAAGAAGTTATGAAAGTCAGTCAGTTTTGTTTTATTATGTATAAAGACTACTAGTGTCCAGGTTGTTGAAGTATTTTTGATTTATTGAACGTCCCTGCAGGCATGTAGTGGTAAATTCTATCCTATCTTCCAACACCTATACTTTGACAGTCTGGAATGTCTTCCAGAGGATGGAGAAGTCCCAGAGGACCAATGTCAACCAGTAAGTTCCCTAGAATAGCACAAAACAAACATGTTTGTTTGACTTACACTGTATTAATCATCTTGTTCCTTAGGGGGGGAGGGGGTGGATACTTTCATATACAAGTCATATGGGATATTTTGCAGTAAGTCTAGTGCCAGAGGAGCAGTGTCAACCAGCAACTTACAAATTTAGTAGATAACTGATCAATGCTATATGTAAAGGATCAAAAAATGCAYTCTTGAAAATAAAGGTTGAGGCCTCAGGCTGCTGCTCCCTCAGCTTCAGCCTTTATCTTTAAGAATACCCTCACCCGTGTGTTTGATAGGATTTAATAACCAGCCCCAATCTGTGATTTAGGAACAATGGATTTGGATTTCATAATGATTTGTATGAATGTCCCCGGGACAGATCTATATTTTTGAAAATAGACCTGTACTGGGACATTATTGAAGATAACAACTGCATTAAACAATGGGATTAGGGTGTGGCTATTTATTAATTTCTCTTAACTCTGCCTGTCATTTTCTTCACATTTATAGACTGGATCTAGATATGATGCTCAGGTAGCAGTCTTTGGAAAGGACTTTCAGAATAAGCTTGGGGCACAGAAATACTTCATTGTAAGCCATTTAATACTTTTATTTTTGTTTAGAATAATGGGGAAGAACCATAACTTAGGATTGTRGGTATGAACGAAAGCATATGAACATACTAGATAATACTATATCACACTGTAAATTAATGATTCACAATACTACAGAACCTTGATCCACCAAGTCTATTGTTTTGTTGTGTTCAAAGAAGAGTTTTAGTTTCAAACTGAGATTTATGTCAAGTCTTTTCATAAATCCTGTCTTTTTTCAACAAAAGGTATCCTTTTTTTGTGTAGCCATAAGGAAAGGTATGGTCAAACTTAGTGTAAGAAATCAAGACAGATCGGGAAAACAAAGAGGACCTTAAATCAAATAGTTCCTTGTTGGTTTTGTTACATTCATGATAGTTTGTTTTATCAACAATAAGAGGACCTTGTTCAAACCATAAAGTTATTTCTCGTTCCCAGTTCAGTTCATCAATTTGCATGATCATTAGTCAAAAAAGCTGGGTTTGTGTGTTTTATCTAGTTATTTGTTTTTTGTTTTGTTTTGAGAGAAATTTTTCTATTTATTTCAAGGTTGGTGCTGGTGCTATAGGCTGTGAACATCTTAAAAACTTTGCAATGATGGGCCTTGGAGCTGGGGAAGGTGGCAATATCTACGTTACTGATATGGATATTATAGAGAAGTCCAACCTAAACAGACAGTTCTTGTTTAGACCAGCCAATGTTGGAGTAAGAAAAACTCTAATTTAATAACAGAATTATTAATATAACTTTCATATTTTTTACAGAATGTTATACATAGATTTATAAAATATAATTTGCTTTCAGAAAATGAAGTCAGAAGTTGCAGCAAAAGCAGCTAAGGCAATGAATCCAAATTTGAATATTACTTCACATCAGAACAGAGTTGGACCAGATACAGAGAGTATCCTACAAAATATTATTTATTTATTCATTACGAATATATATGTTGTAGCAAATCATATGTCTTGGGAACTTGATTGTAATTGCAAGAATTATTTTTTGCTGAACTAATTTTGGGTTTGTTTCTGTTTTTTTACCTGAGATATGTACATTATCCTTAAYGCATTAATAGGGGTATATGATGACAATTTCTTTGAAGCCTTGAATGGGGTTACAAATGCACTAGACAACATTGAYGCAAGTATGTTTACTCCCTCCTAAATATAGTCAGTAGTTTGGTATAAAAACATTCAAATCTTAGGGAAAGGCTTCTCATAATAAATTTTTAGCATATTTTTATTATGTTGTGCTTCTCTTAACATTTCTCTTATGTTCTGCAAACTTTTATGTGCTTTTAATTCCACACAAATAGCCTGCACTTTTTATGTTTCTTTCATGAAATACAAAATACAGCAGCTGTTAATTTGAAAAGGAATCACTAAATAGAAAGTGTCCATAAAGAACACGCTCCCAAACACTCCCTTTTTGTGTATAATATAACTGAATGATGCTATTGTTGTTTAATGATTTAAGGAATGTATATGGACAGGAGATGTGTTTACTACCGTAAACCATTGCTTGAATCCGGAACTTTGGGTACAAAGGGCAATGTCCAGGTATTTTGTTATATTCAAAGTAAAGTGTTTAAACATGAGGAGAGTAAAACAATTATAGGAAAACATATGTTGTGATGAACTAGACTTTCTGTAATGTATTTTTTTTAGGTTGTGCTTCCCTTCCTCACAGAGTCCTACACCTCTTCTCAAGACCCACCAGAGAAGTCCATTCCAATATGTACCCTTAAGAACTTCCCTAATGCCATTGAGCACACACTTCAGGTAACCATCTTACGCTCATTATTATGAAACTTTGTGTCATGCAAATGTATTTAATTACTCTTTTGAACCCTTTCAGTGGGCTCGTGATTGCTTTGAAGGTCTCTTTACGATTCCAGCTGAAAATGTCAATCAATATATCAAGTAAGTTGATTATGTATGCGATAGACTATGACATTCTAAGCATTTGACTAATGAAATATTAATATAATTAATATAGTGACCCCAAGTTTATAGAAAGAACAGATAAACTTCCTGGAATGCAAGCAGTAAGTTTATTTTATTATATATTATTTATTATTCATTAATTTGAGTATTAGTGTTACCTAGCTTGTTTAGTGCTTATCGTTGTTCTAGGTAACCCCTACATTTAGATTTTCTCGTCATGTCCTGTTATATTTTCAATGACATTTTTGTAAATACGACTTTTGTACATTTTCTATTAGGTAGAAATATATGAGCAGATCAAAAAGGCTTTGGTTGAAGACAGGCCCAAAACCTTTGCCGACTGTGTTGTCTGGGCAAGACTGCTTTTCCAGGAATATTTCCATGACACTATAAAACAGCTGCTCTATAATTTCCCAYATGACCAGGTAATGTACCTTTTGTACTATTATACTAGGGATAGGGTCAGTTCAGGACTATAATACTTTGATCCTATTCTCATCAGATTTGTTTTCTTTGTATTGATAGGTAACAAGTTCTGGCCAGCCCTTCTGGTCTGGGCCCAAACGTTGTCCACATCCCATTACCTTTGATCCAAGAGAGGTATTTGTTTGATACAATCATTGTCATACAAACCACAATATTATATTGTTTTTATATTGTGCTTTGATTTCTTCTCCAGCCTACACACATGGATTTTCTTGTTGCTGCTTCAAATCTGAGGGCTTACATGTTTAGATTAATAGGTAAACACATCTACCATTAGATAACTAGTTGTAATACATATTAGATAAGATTATTATTTAACATGATAATGCTACCTTTCTTACAGGATCCCGGGACACTACATTCATCCTAGATACCCTGAAAAACATCAAAGTCTCTGAATTCGTACCTAAATCAGGTAAAAGTTATAATTGACATGCTTTTAAGTGTAACGAGGATGCATCAGCATAGTAATTTATGATTTCACTCAAACTTTCTGTATATCTTTAGGAATAAAGATTGCAACAAGTGAACAGGAAGCAGAGGCAGAAAGAAATGCTTCAGGTTTGTTTTCCTTATCCCATCCTGTTTATGACTGACAGTATCAACACTACAGTAACAACACCAATGCTCCTTTCATTAGGTGATATTGACATTGATGAAATAAAGAATGGCATACCACCCCCAGCTGATGTCAAAAATCTCAAAATGAATCCAGTAGAATTTGAAAAGGTTCGTTGCAATCAATACTGGTTATTCGTAAAGTAAAATCATGTTTATTCAAGTTTAAGAAGAATTATTACATAGGTAAAAAAGAAAACTACCACTGTCCTGCAAATAGTAAGCACTAATCGAGGCAGGACAGTAGCTTAAAGRAAATTACAAGATTATTCGTATTTTGTTGAAAAACGAAAGAAATTATAACAATATAAAGAAATTATATTACAATATTGAAGGAAAGTATGAGTTTATAGCTATTAAYAATATGAGTGCATAAAATTAAATATATAGGATATAGGAAAAGGCAAAGGAGAAAAGGCAAGAAATTAAATGTGTTATAAAACGATCATAGAAAATTGTTTTGTTTTAAACCAGGATGATGACAGCAACTTCCACATGGACTTCATTGTCGCTACATCAAACTTACGGGCAGAAAATTATAGCATCCCACCAGCAGACAGGCATAAGGTAACACAGTGGGTCATGTACAAATGTAGTTTACCGCAATCAATGAACTCCATTCTTTTTTCGTTTTCTAGAGCAAATTAATTGCAGGGAAAATTATCCCAGCAATTGCAACTACAACCGCCATTGTGAGCTCACTTGTCTCTCTAGAGTTATACAAGGTACAAAGCTATTTGTTTTGACTAATTTGAAGTAAAACTTAGTCTGTTTCATTTTAAAAGTGTGCATTTCTTATTTTAAGTTGGTTCAAGGGAGTAAAAAGCTAGAGACGTTCAAAAATGGCTTTGTGAACCTTGCTTTACCTTTCTTTGGATTTTCTGAGCCAATTGGGGCTCCAAAAAACAAGGTATAGTGTCAACATGAAATATCTGGAATAATAACCACCACTGAAAATAATGAGAAAATTGGTTACTTTTTTCTCMAGTACTATGACACAGAGTTTACTTTGTGGGATCGCTTTGAAGTACAAGGAATCAAAGAAAATGGTGAAGAAATGACCCTGAAAGAATTAATTGATTACTTCAAGGTAAGACAGACCGGCAAACATGCATTTGTCCAGCAAAAGATTAATCTTATAGAATAAAATAAGTATTATAATCGATACCAAACGATCAACCAAAATTATATTCMTGACCTACCCATTAAAGTTTTTAATTAACTTTTTGACCTACGCCTTAAAAGACTACATGTAGCCTAAAGAGTG